GATGGCTACAAAATGATTTGTACCCGTGATTCAAACAATTCAAAATTAACATTAAGGTGTTCGGTAAGATAAATATGTTCACTGGTTCCTCGGGGCCCATGGGGTGATGTACCCTCGATGTTTGTTTATGTTCCCTGAGCCCTTTGGGCATCAACCCATTCCCCACTCGGGACCAGTGAACAACTTATAATATACCTATAAACACACACATGCGCACGCACGCATGCATACACGTACACATACACACACACACACCAGTGACATGTTATCCTGTGAGGCACGGAGCTGTCTGTCTACACTTTGGTCTGTGATGTACAGCACCATATAATCAATTGATGATCAATTGAAACTTTGTATCTGTTTTCTCATTAAAATGTATCAATGATAACATTCGGACATCTAGAAAAAGAAACTTCTGAATAGATATTCTGATTGCAATTAGCTTCTTCTTAATTTGCAATTTCAGCACCATAACTTTCTGAAGTGGCTTCTAAATTGACAAGCCAGAAAACAATCTTCCATCGATACACATTAATGCTGCAGCCAATTTACTCCCCGATTCATCACAGTGAAATACAGTGAGGCAAGCTGGCTGAGCAGCATGATGACCTTTTCTTGTCTGCAATTAGGGAGTCCTAACGAGGCCAGGATGGGCGGACAGCCATTGCACAAGGCGCAGATCTAATCAGAGATGGGAGAATGTGTTACTCTCGCACCTAGCAGCATTGTTGAAGATTACAGGACGGACATGATACCTACTACCAACGGTCAGTCCTGACAGCTCCCGTCACAGCTCCACCAGACTTCAAGATTAACGACTCTGTGGTATTATTGACAGGAAGCCATAGCTGTGAGAAGGTGACAACACCTCAGCCTCAACGTCCTCAACGGACACTCCATGCAGCAGCAGAATAAACACAGGAACACTCGGCTGATGAGAAAGAATATGGTCATGTCAGCCCCAATAAATGAGTTCATGTAATCTTTGAATTTGCTTCACTTCTCGTTAGGTATTGTATGGATTTAAAACCAACCATGTCCTTGTCATGAATCTTGTATTGCTGGAAGTTTCCAATTATGTGCCAAGTCAGTTGCTTGGCAATTACTGTTGCGACCTGCAGGCTGTAGAGTTCTGTCCATGGCTTGCAGGATGACTGTCTGCCATGGCAAGTTGACTTTCGTCATGGAATGGTTCCCCAGTGACTCAACTTTCTGTCTGTGTTAAGGATTAAGTGGGTGGGTGGTTGTGTACGTTGGATTTGGCTGAGTGGAGGGGTGGGTGGTTGTGTATGTGGGATTTGGCTGAGTGGAGGGGTGGGTGGTTGTGTATGTGGGATTTGGCCTGAGTGGAGGGGTGGGTGGTTGTGTATGTGGGATTTGGCTGAGTGGAGGGGTGGGTGGTTGTATATGTGGGATTTGGCTGAGTGGAGGGTGGGATTTGGCTGAGTGGGGTGGTTGTGTGTGCTGGATTTGGCTGGAGTGGATTTGGCTGGAGTGGAGGGGTGGGTGGGTGGTTGTATATGTGGGATTTGCCTGAGTGGAGGGGTGGGTGGTTGTGTATGTGGGATTTGGCTGAGTGGGAGGGTGGGTGGTTCTGTCTGCTCATGTTGGATTTGGCTGAGTGGAGGGGTGGGTGGTTGTGTATGTGGGATTTGGCTGAGTGGACGGGAGGGTGGTTCTGTCACGTTGGATTTGGTTGAGTGAGTGGAGGGTGGGTGGTTCTGTACGTTGGATTTGCATGAGTGGGCGGGTGGGTGGTTGTGTATGTGGGATTTGGTTGAGTGGAGGGGTGGGTGGTTCTGTATGTGGTATTTGGCTGGAGTGGAGGGGTGGGTGGTTGTGTACGTTGGATTTGGCTGAGTGGAGGGGTGGGTGGTTGTGTATGTGGGATTTGGCTGAGTGGACGGGTGGGTGGTTGTGTATGTGGGATTTGGTTGAGTGGAGGGGTGGGTGGTTGTGTATGTGGGATTTGGTTGGGTGGAGGGGTGGGTGGTTGTGTACGTGGGATGACGGGTGGTAACTCAGCAGACAGGAAGATGACGTGAGAGGGAGCACTAAACTGATGTTTCACACAGTAGCCTGAAGGAGACCATACCAGAGAAACCATGAAGCACTGACATGCTGTGTGACATTTCCTGGTGTGAGACCTGAACCAGAGAAACCATGAAGCACTGACACGCTGTGTGACATTTCCTGGTGTGAGACCTGAACCAGAGAAACCATGAAGCACTGACACGCTGTGTGACATTTCCTGGTGTGAGACCTGAACCAGAGAAACCATGAAGCTTGACACGCTGTGTGACATTTCCTGGTGTGAGACCTGAACCAGAGAAACCATGAAGCACTGACATGCTGTGTGACATTTCCTGGAGTGAGACCTGAGCCAGAGAGAAACCACGAAGCACTGACATGCTGTGTGACATTTCTGGTGTTAGACCTGAACCAGAGAAACCATGAAGCACTGACATGCTGTGTGACATTTCCTGGTGTGAGACCTGAACCAGAGAAACCATGAAGCACTGACATGCTGTGTGACATTCCTGAGTGAGACCTGAGCCAGAGAAACCATGAAGCACTGGCGTGCTATGTGACATTCCTGGCATGAGACCTGAACCAGAGAAACCATGAAGCACTGACATGCTGTGTGACATTTCCTGGCGTGAGACCTGATCCAGAGAAACCATGAAGCACTGACATGCTGTGTGACATTTCCTGGTGTGAGACCTGAACCAGAGAAACCATGAAGCACTGACGTGCTGTGTGACATTTCCTGGTGTGAGACCTGAACCAGAGAAACCATGAAGCACTGACATGCTGTGTGACATTCCTGGAGTGAGACCTGAGCCAGAGAAACCATGAAGCACTGACGTGCTGTGTGACATTTCCTGGTGTGAGACCTGAACCAGAGAAACCATGAAGCACTGACACGCTGTGTGACATTTCCTGGTGTGAGACCTGAACCAGAGAAACCATGAAGCACTGACGTGCTGCTATGTGACATTTCCTGGAGTGAGACCCGATCCAGAGAAACCATGAAGCACTGACATGCTGTGTGACATTTCCTGGTGTGAGACCTGAACCAGAGAAACCATGAAGCACTGACATGCTGTGTGACATTTCCTGGTGTTAGACCTGAACCAGAGAAACCATGAAGCACTGACATGCTGTGTGACATTTCCTGGTGTGAGACCTGAACCAGAGAAACCATGAAGCACTGACATGCTGTGTGACATTCTTGGAGTGAGACCTGAGCCAGAGAAACCATGAAGCACTGGCGTGCTATGTGACATTCCTGGCGTGAGACCTGAACCAGAGAAACCATGAAGCACTGGCGTGCTGTGTGACATTTCCTGGTGTGAGACCTGAACCAGAGAAACCATGAAGCACTGATGTGCTATGTGACATTTCCTGGCGTGAGACCTGATCCAGAGAAACCATGAAGCACTGACATGCTGTGTGATAATTGCTGGAGTGAGACCTGAGGCCGAGAAACCATGAAGCACTGGCGTGCTATGTGACATTTCCTGGTGTGAGACCTGAGCCGAGAAACCATGAAGCACTGGCGTGCTATGTGACATTTCCTGGTGTGAGACCTGAACCAGAGAAACCATGAAGCACTCTGGAGTGAGACCTGATCCAGAGAAACCATGAAGCACTGACATGCTGTGTGACATTCCTGGAGTGAGACCTGAGCCAGAGAAAGCCATGAAGCACTGGCGTGCTATGTGACATTTCCTGGCGTGAGACCTGAACCAGAGAAACCATGAAGCACTGGCGTGCTGTGTGACATTTCCTGGTGTGAGACCTGAACCAGAGAAACCATGAAGCACTGATGTGCTATGTGACATTTCCTGGCGTGAGACCTGATCAGAGAAACCATGAAGCACTGACATGCTGTGTGACAATTGCTGGAGTGAGACCTGAGCCAGAGAAACCATGAAGCACTGGCGTGCTATGTGACATTTCCTGGTGTGAGACCTGAGCCAGAGAAACCATGAAGCACTGGCGTGCTGTGTGACATTTCCTGGTGTGAGACCTGAACCAGAGAAACCATGAAGCACTGACACGCTGTGTGACATTTCCTGGTGTGAGACCTGAACCAGAGAAACCATGAAGCACTGACACGCTGTGTGACATTTCCTGGTGTGAGACCTGAACCAGAGAAACCATGAAGCACTGACGTGCTGTGTGACATTTCCTGGTGTTAGACCTGAACCAGAGAAACCATGAAGCACTGACATGCTGTGTGACATTCCTGGAGTGAGACCTGAGCCAGAGAAACCATGAAGCACTGACGTGCTATGTGACATTTCCTGGCGTGAGACCTGAACCAGAGAAACCATGAAGCACTGACGTGCTGTGTGACATTTCCTGGTGTGAGACCTGAACCAGAGAAACCATGAAGCACTGACATGCTGTGTGACATTTCCTGGAGTGAGACCTGAACCAGAGAAACCATGAAGCACTGACATGCTGTGTGACATTTCCTGGTGTTAGACCTGAACCAGAGAAACCATGAAGCACTGACAGCGCTGTGTGACATTTCCTGGTGTGAGACCTGAACCAGAGAAACCATGAAGCACTGACGTGCTGTGTGACATTTCCTGGTGTGAGACCTGAACCAGAGAAACCATGAAGCACTGACATGCTGTGTGACATTTCCTGGTGTTAGACCTGAGCCAGAGAAACCATGAAGCACTGACATGCTGTGTGACATTTCCTGGTGTGAGACCTGAACCAGAGAAACCATGAAGCACTGACATGCTGTGTGACATTTCCTGGTGTGAGACCTGAACCAGAGAAACCATGAAGCACTGACATGCTGTGTGACATTTCCTGGTGTGAGACCTGAACCAGAGAAACCATGAAGCACTGACTGCTTGAATGATGATTGACAGGTGCCTGTGCAGAAACCAAGAACTGTATATATATGTAAACATAACTGTTTGAATGGTCATTGACAGGTGCTTGTAGAGTGAGTGAGTGGGGCAGTTACTTACACTGTAGTTGGTTCTGATGACAAGGGGCAGCTGGTTCTTGGCACTGATTCCTTCTGGCAGCTGATCCAAGAGCAGCAGGTGTGATGCCATTTCATCTCCATAGCAACTAGATCTTGCAAGGACCAGTGTTGCCAAAATGAGAAGTTCCATCTTGTCTGATGTCACCTTTGAAATACTGCAACAGGGTGTTGATTCATCGTTGTCTTCTCCCAGTATCTGTAATGTAAGGAAACAGCTGTTACAATCTGCAACATATACAAAAGCTATACACCTTTGAGGACAGTGTGTGATCCAGAATGGTCTAAGCTGTACTTGCTCCAACCCCAGCCCCAGTCTGTAAATGGTCGCAGTCACATCTTCGTATGTAAGTTTTGGCTACTGCAGTTCAGGGCTCCTACACAATGTCACCAGAAGTTGAGTTGTGAGACTTGTGTGAGACTGGTGTGAGACTTGTGTGAATTGTGTGAGTAAGAGACTTGTGTGACACTTGTGTGAGTTGTGAGAGTTGTGAGACTTGTGTGAGTTGTGTGAGTTGTGAGAGTTGTGTGGGTTGTGAGACTTGGGTGAGTTGTGAGACTTGTGTGAGTTGTGAGAGATGTGAGAATTGTGTGAGTTGAGAGATGTGAGACTTGTGTGAGTTGTGCGAGTTGTGAGAGATGTGAGAATTGTGTGAGTGGTGAGAGTTGTGTGAGTTGTGAGATATGTGTGACACTTGTGTGAGTTGTGAGACTTGTGTGAGTTGTGAGACTTGTGTGAGTTGTGTGAGTTTTGAGAGTTGTGTGAGTTGTGAGAGTTTTGAGACTTGTGTGAGACTTGTCTGAGTTGTGAGAGTTGTGAGACTTGTGTGAGTTGTGAGAGTTGTGAGAGTTTTGAGACTTGTCTGAGTTGTGAGAGTTGTGAGACTTGTGTGAGTTGTGAGAGTTGTGAGAGTTTTGAGACTTGTGTGAGACTTGTGTGAGTTGTGAGACTTGTGTGAGTTGTGAAAATTGTGTGAGTTGTGAGAGTTGTGAGAGATGTAGGAGATGTGAGATATGTGAGAGTTGTGTGAGTTGAGAGATCTGAGACCTGTGTGAGTTGTGAGAGTTGTGTGAGATATGTGAGAATTGTGAGAGTTGTGTGAGTTGTGTGAGTTGTGAGAGATGTGAGAGATGTGAGATATGTGAGAATTGTGAGAGTTGTGAGAGTTATGAGACTTGTGTGAGACTTGGGTGAGTTGTATGAGTTGTGGGACTTGTGTGAGATCTGAGAGTTGTGAGAGATGTGTGAGATGTAAGATATGTGAGAATTGTGTGAGTTGTGAGACTTGGGTGAGTTGTGAGACTTGTGTGAGTTGTGAGAGTTGTGAGAGTTGTGTGAGTTGTGAGACTTCTGAGATTTGTGTGAGTTGTGAGAGTTGTGTGAGTTGTGAGACTTCTGAGATTTGTGAGAGTTGTGTGAGTTGTGAGTTGTGTGAGACTTGGGTGAGTTGTGAGACTTGTGAGACTTGTGTGAGTTGTGTGAGTTGTGTGAGTTGTGTGAGTTGTGAGACTTCTGTGAGTTGTGAGAATTGTGTGAGTTGTGTGAGTTGTTGTGAGTTGTGAGAGTTGTGAGATCTGAGTTGTGAGAGTTGTGTGAGTTGTGAGACTTGTGTGAGTTGTGTGAGAGTTGTGAGAGTTGTGTGAGTTGTGAGACTTCTGAGAGTTGTGTGAGTTGTGAGAGTTGTGTGAGTTGTGAGAGTTGTGTGAGTTGTGAGAGTTCTAGAGAGTTGTGAGAGTTGTGTGAGTTGTGAGACTTCTGAGAGTTGTGTGAGAGTTGTGTGAGTTGTGTGAGTTGTGTGAGACTGTGTGAGACTTGTGAGAGTTGTGAGAGTGTGTGAGTTGTGAGTGTGTGAGACTTGTGAGACTTGTGTGAGTTGTGAGACTGTGTGAGTTGTGAGACTTCTGAGAGTTGTGTGAGTTGTGAGAGTGTGTGAGAGTTGTGTGAGTTGTGAGACTTGTGAGACTTGTGTGAGTTGTGAGAGTTGTGAGAGTTGTGAGACTTCTGAGAGTTGTGTGAGTTGTGTGAGTTGTGTGAGTTGTGAGACTTGTGAGAGTTGTGTGAGTTGTGACAGTTGTGTGAGTTGTGAGACTTCTGAGAGTTGTGAGAGTTGTGTGAGTTGTGAGACTTGTGAGTGTTGTGTGAGTTGTGAGAGTTGTGTGAGTTGTGAGAGTTGTGAGAGTTGTGAGAGTTGTGTGAGTTGTGAGACTTGTGAGTTGTGAGAGTTGTGAGATTGTGTGAGTTGTGAGACTTGTGAGACTTGTGAGAGTTGTGAGAGTTGTGTGAGTTGTGAGACTTCTGAGAGTTGTGTGAGTTGTGAGAGTTGTGTGAGTTGTGTGAGTTGTGAGAGTTGTGTGTGAGAGTTGTGTGAGAGTTGTGTGAGTTGTGAGAGTTGTGAGAGTTGTGTGAGTTGTGAGAGTTGTGTGAGTTGTGAGACTTCTGAGAGTTGTGAGAGTTGTGAGAGTTCTGTGAGTTGTGAGAGTTGTGAGAGTTGTGTGAGTTGTGAGACTTCTGAGAGAGTTGTGTGAGTTGTGAGAGAGCTGTGTGAGTTGTGAGAGTTGTGAGAGTTGTGAGAGCTGTGAGAGTTGTGTGAGTTGTGAGAACTGTGAGAGTTGTGTGAGTTGTGAGACTTCTGAGAGTTCTGTGAGTTGTGTGAGTTGTGAGAGTTGTGTGAGTTGTGAGACTTCTGAGAGTTGTGTGAGTTGTGAGAGTTGCAGTATCTGCCTTGAATCTCACCAAGCCCTGCTGACAACTGACCCAGGACAATAGCGTTATTATTCTCCACACCTGAGGCAGGTAAAGCAAATGAGGTATACATTACAAGATACAGAGAGATATGTTTACTGCTGTGCACACCAAGGCTTAGCTTTCCCTTTCACCTCCAGGCAGTGTAGGACTTCAAGCTTACAATTGTAACCACAAATTTACAAAACATACGTTATCATGATCATCAAGCAAGACACAAATTCCTCACTTCTATTCACATCAGCTGGAAGCATGAAAACTCACTGAGTGGAAAATGTCAGTGTTTGGCACAGGCATACTGCTGATCTAGATGAAAATCTGCAGCTCACGCAGGACTACACACATTGTACACTGGGACAATATAACCCTTTATTTGCCACCAGGGTCATAGAAAGGGGAGATGGACATCGCTGCGTGCCTCCATATATACAAACTAGGTCATATCAACCATATATGAATGCTTATGTACAGTCTACCCTGGGTCGGCCATACAGGTCCTGTATACTGAGTACACTGGGTCTGCCAAACAGGTCCTGTATAATCTGTACCCTGGGTCGGCCATACAGGTCCTGTATACTGTGTACCCTGGGTCGGCCATACAGGTCCTGTTTACCGTGTACACTGGGTCGGCCACACAGGTCCTGTATACTGTGTACCCTGGGTCGGCCATACAGGTCCTGTATACTGTGTACACTGGGTCGGCCATACAGGTCCTGTATACCGTGTACCCTGGCTCGGCCATACAGGTCCTGTATACTGTGTACCCTGGCTCGGCCCTACAGGTCCTGTATACCGTGTACACTGGGTCGGCCATACAGGTCCTGTTTACCGTGTACACTGGGTCGGCCATACAGGTCCTGTTTTCAGAGTTTCCCCCACTGTCTTTTGTGCTACTAAAAGTTTTAAAGTCTAAATCTTCCATTGATTTAAGCATTCTTCCAACATTTTCAGTTTGTAAAGAGAAAAACCCAGCTTCACAGTGAGAGAAAAGAGATGCCATTTGATTGTGAAATCCTGGGTAACCAATCACATCAAGGCTGTGGCCTGGGAAGATGCGCCAAGTCACATCTGCTGTGGTCTGGGAAGATGCACCAAGTCACATCTGCTGTGGTCTGGGAAGTCATGCTGTGGTCAAGTCACATCTGCTGTGGTCTGGGAAGATGCGCCAAGTCATATCTGCTGTGGTCTGGGAAGATGCGCCAAGTCACATCTGCTGTGGTCTGGGAAGATGCGCCAAGTCACATCTGCTGTGGTCTGGGAAGATGCACCAAGTCACATCTGCTGTGGTCTGGGAAGATGCGCCAAGTCATATCTGCTGTGGTCTGGGAAGATGCAGCAAGTCACATCTGCTGTGGTCTGGGAAGATGCGCCAAGTCACATCTGCTGTGGTCTGGGAAGATGCGGCAAGTCACATCTGCTGTGGTCTGGGAAGATGCACCAAGTCACATCTGCTGTGGTCTGGGAAGATGCAGCAAGTCACATCTGCTGTGGTCTGGGAAGATGCGCCAAGTCATATCTGCTGTGGTCTGGGAAGATGCGGCAAGTCACATCTGCTGTGGTCTGGGAAGATGCACCAAGTCACATCTGCTGTGGTCTGGGAAGATGCACCAAGTCACATCTGCTGTGGTCTGGGAAGATGCACCAAGTCACATCTGCTGTGGTCTGGGAAGATGCGCCATAGCTGTGGTCTGGGAACATCTGCTGTGGTCTGGGAAGATGCACCAAGTCACATCTGCTGTGGTCTGGGAAGATGCAAGTCAATCATCTGCTGTGGTCTGGGAAGATGCACCAAGTCACATCTGCTGTGGTCTGGGAAGATGCACCAAGTCACATCTGCTGTGGTCTGGGAAGATGCACCAAGTCACATCTGCTGGTCTGGGAAGATGCACCAAGTCTGCTGTGGTCTGGGAAGATGCGGCAAGTCACATCTGCTGTGGTCTGGGAAGATGCACCAAGTCACATCTGCTGTGGTCTGGGAAGATGCACCAAGTCACATCTGCTGTGGTCTGGGAAGATGCACCAAGTCACATCTGCTGTGGTCTGGGAAGATGCACCAAGTCACATCTGCTGTGGTCTGGGAAGATGCACCAAGTCACATCTGCTGTGGTCTGGGGAAGATGCTGTGGTCAAGTCACATCTGCTGTGGTCTGGGGAAGCGCAAGTCACATCTGCTGTGGTCTGGGAAGATGCACCAAGTCACATCTGCTGTGGTCTGGGAAGATGCGCCAAGTCACATCTGGTCTGGGAAGATGCACCAAGTCACATCTGCTGGAAGATGGGAAAGCACCAAGTCACATCTGCTGTGGTCTGGGAAGATGCACCAAGTCACATCTGCTGTGGTCTGGGAAGATGCAGCAAGTCACATCTGCTGTGGTCTGGGAAGATGCACCAAGTCACATCTGCTGTGGTCTGGGAAGATGCACCAAGTCATATCTGCTGTGGTCTGGGAAGATGCG